GTAATATATGGTACTTTTGAAATATGCATTGATATGTCATTTTAAAAATGAGCATAATATCAGTATCAAATAAGCATACACAACTTACAAAATGCGCATAAATATGAAAATCGTAAGATTTGTTAGTTGGACGTCACAACATTTCTTTTAAGTATTTACAATGAACTCATATGTACTCATTTTAATTGTACTCATTTTTTATGTCATATCAATGTTCATTTTAATGTATCACAAAAAAAATGTTCATTTTGATGTTCATTTCTTTTAAACGCTATACTCAAATGAGTATAACATAAAACTCAGTTTTATAATCGATATATATCATATATTCGCTACAAACGACTTAATAGAAATAGACTGATTTAATAATCTATAAATAGATTCAGCAATGAGAAATATAATAAATTTGTTAGAAAAAATAATTTATAATTTGTCATCTTTGACATATAAGTTTATTGTGCTCGTTTTATAATTTTTCAATCATGCACATTAAATTTAAACATTCTACTCATTTTACTATGGGGTTTTCCCCTCAATATTCTACTCAATTTCCAAAAAAGTGACTAGTTTCGAATATTGACAAAAATGTGACTAATGAGGTCATAGATTTGGAAAAGGACAATGTAACTGTAAATAGTTATGTCACTGCGATATTTTCGTGTCATTGAGAAGTCGACGCCGGTGTCACTAAAGCCGCCACCGGTGTCACTGAAGCCGCCATCGGTGTCACTGAAGCCGCCACCGGTGTCACTGAGCCGCCACCGATGTCACTGTGCCACAGTTACAACATATTTTTCAATGAAATTTGCCCACCAACACTACCGCTTACCGCCCGCTGCCCACCAATACAACCGCCTGCTGCCCGCCAACACTACCACCCACCGCCCGCCACTGTCGGAGACATCGCCCAACTGCACACTTCCCCAGCCCCGCGAGCACCGTCGCCTCCCTGTCACGCTGCAGCCCCGCCGCCCCACCCAACACACCTCCTATTACCTGTCCCCACCCAGCAAAGCCGCACCCCAGCCCCACCCAACAAAGGGGCACCCCATCCCCACCCAGCAAAGCCGCACCCCTGCCCCATCCACCAACACCGCATCCCAATCCCATCGGACCCTGCTCTAAGTTCCCAACCCTCGAAGCAACGCCACCCAGTTGCACCGTCGATCGATGCCACCCCCCACTACCCCTAAAACCTAACCTAGCCACCATCGCAGATCTACACCGCCGTCGAGAACATCAGTCACTGGTAGAAAGATGAAGAAGGCAATGGAGATCTAGATCTGGAGCCTCTTCACTAATCAGAAAGATGGAGATGAGGAAAGGAGAAGAAGAAGATTTAGGCGGCGGCGATGACGGTGCAATTGGCAGAAAGCGGTGATGGACGAAGCAAGAGATGAGGGAACGCGGACGGAGATTTTGAGCGTGCGCAGATTTGCCGATGAAGATCGCACACAGATGACGGGCCTTTCTTTGTCGAAGGAGACGATGAGATTTGGACCAGGCTTTTTAATTTTAAAAGGTCACTTTTCTGTCCAACCAATAAATGGTCATATTTTTGTCCATCTAAAGTCCATATGTAACACTTTTGCCATTCTTTCTTTTATTATAGCATAAAACTCGATCATTTTAATAAATTACATGTAAGTATAGCACATTACTTAGCTTCTATACTCATTTAAACATTATACACATTTGGGCTTAAGATAAAACTCACTTACACCATTCGTAAATATAATATGTACAGAGTATTTTATACTATACTAAGTTTACAACTTAATTCAATGCTTTTCCTAAAAAGACTTAATATCAATGCTGAATTCTTTTAAATGATATATGCTCATTAAGTGTAACACAAAAATCCATTTCAATATTTACATGGAATAAACACATTACAATTCAAATTAATAAAGTTCAATATGTGAATCTAATGTAATATGTTACTTTTGAAATATGCATTGATATGGCATTCTAAAAATGAGCATATTATCTGTACCGATTGAGCATATCTAACATACAAAATGATCATTGATTTCAAGAGTCAACACATTTTAATTGAGTATCAAATCTTCTCTATCGAGTATTAGAAGTATGTGATTGATCATTATGATCTGTACTCCCGTGTCTATAATCAAGTCCCATGTGAATTTATGGTACATCTTCTACAATCTAATAAGGCTGAATGAGAGTTAGGGCATTGCCGGTATAAAATTTTTGTTGGTGGTATTGTAAACTTAATTGACATTTACAACATGTTTAAATACTTGTAAACTTTCACTTTCACTTGACTTATCTCCCCTACAACCCGCTTGTCTCCTTTAAATATTCCCATGGCCCAGCACCGTTTGGCTTCTGCTTCCTCTTCAACCGAACTGGACATTCTGTTCCATCGAATCACAAATGGGAAAAGGGCCAAAAATGACACTGACGTTGTTTAGCAATCTCATATAGGACACTGAAGTTTAAATCGGACCATTTAAACACATAAGCCACCTGTTTGGGTTACATTTGGCCACTCCCTAACCGAGCCGTCCATCTGTCGTTAACTCCTTCTTCTCCCCCCTAATTAAACGCTACCCAACAAAATTGACAACCCCAATTCATCTACCATGAAGCTAATTCATCTGCCATGAAGATCCTTAGCCTGAAAGTAAGTGCGCTTAGAAGAAGAGTGATTACTTCCGTACGCACGTGAATGACTGGGAGTGCTCAGCTTCTGATTTTGGAATCCACAGTCACGCTTAAAGGTATTCAGTGTACTTATTTCGTTTTCCTCTTAAAGGATGAGTGAGTTCGTGAACCTGCAGTTTAATCACAGTGGGAGATGGATTTTGCACCCGAAAATGAAATATGTTGATGGGGATGTCCATACAATATATAGGTTTGATCCTGACTTTCTGTGCTTTCATGACATACAAAGAACTTACAAAGAGGAATTGGGTTTCATAACACTAAAAAACATTTATGTCTTGGTACCCGGAAAAGATTTGGACAATGGGCTATTTTTAGTTGAAGATGACGACACAATTAGGAAGGTTTTGAATCGGATTAGGAATTTTTCTTGGATTGATGATATATAGTTGTATGCTGATCATCAACTGGACGAGCCCCTTCTCATTCCCCAAATAGAGTGGTCTTCTGTTCAAAACAACCAGAGTGAGAATGTGAGTAACCAAAGCCCTGAAACAGTCAATGAGGGGGTACTTCCCCAAGAAACTAGAGGGGTGCCAAATGGTTATGTAAGTGATGGGGAAGCTGAAGAGGAACCACTAGATTCTGATAGTAGCAATGAAGAAGAGGAAGCAGAAGATAGTGATGAAGATGTGAGGGTTAACTACACTACCACAGATGGATCTACTTGCTTTATTATTGGGATGACTTTTGAAGATGTCCATGAGGCTAGAACTGCCATTGCAGACTATGGTGTCAAGTTTGGCTACAAGCTTAAAATCAAACCCAATGAGAAGAACAGATTGGCTGTAAAATGTCTGAACGAGGAAGGGTGCCCATTCAGATTATGGATATCTAAAGATGGGAAGAATTCTGGCTTGGCAGTTAAAGTATGCAATCTAGAGCACAAGTGTTTCAGACACTTTTCCATCCCCAGTGCTTCTCAGAAATGGCTAGCAAATTACTTCAAAGGTCACCTACAAAAAAATCCAAACTTTAGGGTTGCTGAAATGAAAGAGGAGGCTGAGAAAGTTCTTAAGATTAATGTCAGCTTGTACAAGTGCAAGAGGTCCAAAAGACTTATTCTTCAAGAGTTGGATGTTAGTTATAAAGCAGAGTTTGGTTACCTGGAGGCATATGCTGCTTGTATAAAGAGAAGCAATCCTGGATCAAAAGCTGAAATTGAACTGTGCAGTCAATCCTTGAAAGATGGGAGGAGAGTCTTCAAAAGAATGTTTATTTGCTTTGATGCTTTGAGGAGAAACTGGATGGGTGGTTGCATTATAACAACTTTTTTCTTCTGACAAATTCCCTACACATTCAGACAAACACATTGAAACATACACAATGACATATATCTTCATACCATTCCCATTCATACATATGAAATCTCCAAATTGGATCTGTCATCTGTTTACAATAGCAGAATGCATACATTAAACAAAATTACAACACCATAACCTACTATATTCTTCTACCTAAGTTAACATACAAATCAGTGCAACTAGGACACACAAAAACAGTACAACTAAGTAGTTCCTCATTGTCTTTCTTTCCCTTTCCAAATTCATAACCTCAACATTGTTGGTACTATCATATTGTAGCCTTTGATCTGAACTTTCAAATTGACAACTTTCAGCATCAAATTCTAGCCCTACAGTGTCATCTAACATCCCTCCTTTGCCATTTGGGTGACATAGTTCACCCCTAAGCTTTTTGTTCTCCCATTTCAGCTGATTTATCACATCTTTCGCTCTATTTGTGAATTGCTCATCATGCCATTGAAAGAAACCGCACCCCTCCTTCTACAGTACAAAACACATATATTAATTCCAGTCATCTATATAAACAAGACCACCAATTTACAAACTTACCTTATAATATGGGCATCCATAGAATCGTCTCCCAGGATTCTTATCAGTCCATGAGGTCCAAAGTCTAGCTTCTGTAACCATTCCATTCATGTTTCTGCATTTACAATAGGTGAAACGAGTAGGAGTTCCAGATTCTATATTGCTTCGCTTCTTCACCGATTCAACGGAGAAACAACTTGATTTCTCTTCACCAGTCCACCTCGAACGTGAACCTCCATCACCCATCTCTCTGTTGTTGTTATACGAACGTGAAATCACCAGTCCACCTCGAAGTCGTTGATCGTTTTTATTAGGGTTGCTGAGGAGTTGTTGGGTAACGTTTAATTAGGGGGAGAAGAAGGAGTTAACGACAGATGGACGGCTCGGTTAGGGAGTGGCCAAATGTAACCCAAAAAGGTGGTTTATGTGTTTAAATGGTCCACTTTAAACTTCAATGTCCTATATGAGATTGGTAAACAAGCTCAGTGGCATTTTTGGCCCTTTTCCCAATCACAAACCATGCCAGGGATGAGGGATCTTCGGTTCTGCAACAGGGTCTCAGGCTTCTTCTTTAGCCGCACAAGGGCATCCTGTCGCACATCCCCTCTGCCTCGCATCCTTTCATCTTCTTTGGCGTTTCTCTGTAAGTTCTCTTTTTATTTTGTTGAAGTGTTCATTACTCTGGCATTTATGAAGCTGTTTAATTTCTTTAATGCCTACCCATCGATCCCTCTCCTCTTAAGATCAGAGGTTTGTTGTGGCCGAATGTAACGAGCTGGGTAATTGGCTGCCAGCAGGAAGGTGACGCTTATACTGGCTGTATGTAATAAAAAGCTCGTTCCGTAGCCTGCTTGTTTTTATTCGTGTGAATTTCTAAAAAAACTTCTTAAATATCATATGAAAGGGGAAATTATCACTTTTTAAGTCTGGCGTTTGATTCATGTATTGTTGATGGGATACCTGATGGCATGAAATTCTGAGAAACTGGAAAGCGAGGGTCAAACGAGCATGTGTACGACTCTTATTATATTGGAAGAATCCCAATGTTTCTGTTCGACTCTTAATCTCTTATACTGGAAGTATCTCAATGTTCCGTTAACTACACCCCGTAAAATTCTCATCTGCCAAAAGAAATGTTTCACATGTTTAGGGTTGCTATTCCATCTTCTCTGCCGTTTTGTTTCGCAGGTTTCAGTTTGCTATTCCATGTTCTCCGCCATTTTTTTTATTCATCTTCTCCACTGTTATTTTATTTATGCTAGAATTAACTATGATGTTTCGATGTTTAGTTTTTTTTTCCAGATCAAATTCTCACTGGAATAACATGATAGTATTACATCAACATAGCATCAATTTTTGTTTCTCTTTTTGCTTGGAATGTGTATATTTTCCTGCTCATGTTCTGAATATGTGTGTATTTATATTTGAACCCCCCTAAAGATGCGTCCTTGCTCTGCAGATGCAAGATCTGGAAGTAAAGGTTCACTTATAGGTGGATTACCTGGCGGCACACTTATAGGTACGGTTAAGTCTTGGTTCAACTGAAAGCTTTATATTTTAGTTCTTTTTTTTCTCTTTTGAAATGCTGTGAGGTATGAACTTAATTAGCAGCTGGGACATGTGCAGAAGTTGTTTGTCATCCCCTTGATGAAGTGAAGAAGAGATTTCAGATTGAAGGACTAAAGAGGCATCCAATATATGATGCTCAAGTCAAGCTTAATGCTTACAGAAATATGTATGATGCTCTATAGTCGCATTTTACTCCAGGAGGGATGGACAGGGCTTTATAAAGGCATTGTCCCCATCAGTTATTTAAAGCTGCGCGGGCAGGTGCAGGCTTTGTTTGCAAACACCAAAAAAAGTGCTTCCTAGCTTTTGGTTTAAATAAGCTATGAACAGTGTTTTCAAGTGACAATTCTACTTAAATTAATACTTAAAACTAAAAGCTAGAATCTGTTTTTTTTTCTTTTTCTATTATACAAAAGGCACTTATTTATCAAACAATACCAACTTTTACTTATCAAAATCACTTTTTTCTCAAACACTACCATCATTTACTATTAATCACTTTTTCCCAAATCATTTTAAAAAGTTCAAAAGCACGTGTGATTAGTGTTTGTGAACAAACCCGCAGTAGCCTTTGCTGATTATGAATTCACATCAAATTTGTTAGAAACAATTTTAACATGAACTCAACTCTGCTCTTTAAAAAAAATAGGTGTTGTAGATATTCCTGAACCACTAGATGAGATTTTACACCATTTTTGTACTTCTTACATGATCAGGGACACATAATTCATCAAAAAGAAAAAAAATGCATTAGAACAGATGGTATTTTTTTATGTCTTATAATCATGAGAAAATAAAAGTAAAAACTAGGAAGAAAATGTGTTAGATGAGTTAGAATAAGCAAGACATCTTTATTTGAAAAATCAGTAGAGTTTAAAATGGGTCTAATAAAGAGGTTTTCGATATGTTAGTGCATATGACATCTATTGGGATTATTATAGATGCTGTTGTGGTGATCTGTGTGTTCATTTCAATAAAATTAGTCACTTTTTTATAATAAACTATGGGACAAAAAGATGACATGTAGTGGGGAGAATGTGGTAATTTGTACACATTTTCTCTTTCTTTCCAAGTCCGTATAGTGAGAGTGGTACCAATTCTTTTCAAGCTAGCACTTACTGGTGTTCATATCTGAAGGTAGAGTGTAAGTTGGAGCCTTTGTGGCATTGGGTAATGATGTTGATGATGATGAGCCAATAATCTACATTTTGATGACTCAAAGCTTTGATATAAATAGAATAACGCACATTCTTTGTCCCCCCAATACAATTATCAAGCACAATAAATTTTATAAATAACACTAACAATAACTATGATACAAAGCACACAAACTTAGTTTGGTTACTTTGGCAGCAACCTCAGCTGCTCTAAAACCTTCAGAAGACCAAAACTATAATTTCATTGTAGTTTGTTTATTAGTCATGTGTTTCTTAAGTTTGATTGTACATGTTTAGTTTAATGTTGACTTTTCAATCATGCGGTCTCTTCTCTTAAGTTTGTGTACAATTACTTATAAATGCTAAAATTAGAAACTACATTTTTGAATTCGTGAGAGTTAACTATTTCTTTGAAAATAATTCCTGAGAGTTAACTATTTAGAAATCAAATAATATCGAATTGTACCGAATCGAAATGGGACTGTATATTCGGGACGGACCGTACTTTACAACATAGCCATGTTTTTCAAAATACGTCTAGATATACATGAATCATTTTACGGAGTATATGTTTTTTTTACCGAGAAACATTTTAGATGTTGAAAAATGGTGGAAGTATAAAAATGAAAAATTCTCGTAAAAATCATTCCAAAGACGCACACTTCACAGGAGTACAGGACTATAGTGGCCCGACTACAAGAGCACTGCAATAAAACAAACACTAGTGCTGTAACTACAATAATTGCAATTCCGTTCATCATGTGCGTTATTTGTAATCCGGCCATGGAGATTCTGGCGAGTTTCTATAAGTTATATGTAATCTTCTCTGTCCTTACATTCGCTGGAATCTCAGCTCATGAAGGTGAACAAAAAGATCCCACCATCAAGATCATGGAGGACTTCTCTGGGTACCCAGTTCATGAGCCCAACTCAGTTTCTTCTTTATATGTGGACACTCACTCTTTGCAGAACCAGGTACGTCCCACTCTCCTCCAATCCCCTGCCTTTTGTGGATAACTTTTATTTATTTTATTTTATATCATAAAGACTGAATCTTTACTACTCTTGACTTATTAAAAAGTGTTTGTGAAATAATAGTTTGACAGAACCAAGTTGTGTTGTATTGCCAAAAGTTAAATAGGGAAAACGTGATTAACTTGGTTTGGTGTTCTATTACACGCTTGATTTGTGATATTATTGTTAGCTCTGATTTCCCATACCTTATTGAAAAACTAATTTCTGGTAGTAATGCTAGAATTGTTAACATAGGATTATAGGAATAAGAATTGATAAAGTTTATCTGATATAGGGAAGTTTAATAAATATTAATCAAGAAAAAAAATCTTTTTAATGAAGAATAACCAGAATATACCTTGAATATAAGTTTAGTTGCCCCGCCCCATCCGAGGCGTGTGACTGTTGCATTGAAGGGGAATGGGACATAAAGGTTTGGCTGGGTTTGAGATAACTATCATCCACTATTGCAAAATGATGTAATTGTGGTGCATTATATAATAAACCTTTTCGGATGTGGATCATTATTTTGCTTGGAAAAGAAAGAAATTAAATGCAATTATGATAAGTATTATAAAATATGGAATTTGTAGATTGATGAGCTATCAACTTTCTCAGATTCACCAGCACCTTCAGTAACTAGGGTCTTGTACAGTGAGAAGGATGTATTGGCAAGGAGGTACCTATCCAAACCCACCTTTCACCTCTTCTTTTTTTGGGTAAAAGGAAATACAAGCTCTGCTATTTGTAATGTTTGCATTACTTTGAGGTGTTTGTCTAGCAGTACAATATATGTATTTATGTGCATTTTATGGTATTCTTCACTTAGATTACTCATTTCATTCATTAATCTAATTGGCATAAGGACACTTATTCGCTCTAAGTATGCAAGAATTTGCCAGAATTCCTTTTTATCTTCGATAAAGTTTGAATTTTGAGACAACTACAAAATTACGTTCTATATGAAGAATGTGAGTTTACAAGGAATACTTTTTTTTGCTCTCTATGAATTTGTATACTTCATTAAGCCGAGCTATCTTATGAAGTTGTACATTTGTGTGCTACTCTCTCTGTTTCACAAAACTTCCGTTCTAAAATTAGACACAGAGATTGACCCCCCCCCCCCATAAAATATCCTAGAATTTATGTTATAAACTTAAAAGGTATTATACTTAAACTACCCTTCATTAGAATCTGTCCGTGGAACGACTAGAAATTACTTTAATTACCAATACACGTAAAGGAAAAAGGGAAAAATGGAAAATAGGTACAATAAGAAGCTGTTCTCTTCGTCTTAATCTTATTACTTATTCCTTATTCTTATTTTATTCAGATCAGATCAGAAAGATTCAGATCAGATCATATCAGATCAGAAACATTCAGATCAGATCAGAAGCATTCAGATCATATTAGTTCAGAAATATTCATACCAAATTGGAAGCATTATATTATTATCTATTATATATATTACTATAACTATTATTACTATTATTTTTGTTATTTTTTATAATAATAGTAATAATTATTATTAATATAATTACTATTATATAATACTCCCTCCGTCCCCCTGTTATTGTCCCATTTCCTATTCACTTGGTCAACACTAATCACTCTTAATCTCTTACTTTATGTATCAAATTTTTATCAAATTTGATTCTGGTTTTTGCGACTTTGTAAATCTTTTAATGTAGTTTCTGAATATGTAATTTTCTTTTTCTAAAAATAATTTGAGTGCAGACAGGGATCTGTTTGCTTTATCGTCGGTCAAGCATCGTAAACCGCAATGGGACAATAACAGGAGGACGGAGGGAGTATTATATATTACTGTTATGTTTTACGGAGTAATTTTTAGTATTGATTTTTTAATAAATGCTAAAATTGAGTACTTTGTATCAATCCATCTAATCTAAATATATAATACTGTCACCATTCGAAAGATGTTTCACTGTACTGAAGTCCCGATGGTGGATACTACATAGGATGCCGTTAATGGAAATTCAATATGTACTTGCGATTATGGTATCAACTTTCGCACTGCATAACTTTATCCGTCTTTACGAGTTGGATATTCCAATTTCAAGTGCAATCACCATTGAGCCAAGTACTGACACTAGCATGTTTAATCGAGAAGGCAAACAAGAAATGGAAAAAGTACAAGCACAAATAGCTGCTGAAATTCGGCGCTCAATTCGACGTTAAATGAATATGACACTAAGTACATTTATATTTATTGTTTTTTGCAATTGAGTTGTAAGAACAAACTCATGTGTTTGTCATTTCTACGGTACACTCATTATGTGCAAGAATTTTACATTGCTTCGTTTATTGTCAAATATTTATATTATTATTAAAAAGGTTATTAATATCACTACTACTACCTATTATTATTATTATTATTATTATTATTATTATTGTTACGGAGTATTATTTTTATTATATTTATTAAATAATAAGAATAGTTATTATTACTATTATAATTATTATTGATATTGTTATTGTTGTTGTTATTGTTATTATTATTATATACCAATTTAGAAAGTTAAGATCAGATTAGAAGGATTCAGATCAGATCAGAAATATTCAGATTAGATCAGAAACATTCAGATCAGATCAGATCAGAAACATTCAGATCAGACAGATTCAGATCAGGTCAGATCAGAAAGATTCAGATCAGAATTTCAAAAATTCAGATCAGAAACATTCAGATCAGATGAAGAGAACAACTTCTTATTCCGTTTACCCGGTCCTGGACCCGATAGTATTTTTATTTAACAGCTTGACTATGGTACATGTGATTCCGACCCCTTTAAAATTTCTTATTAATGTACACACACTAATACATAGAGTGATTAGTCGTAATTAGGCCGAAACTCGGGCCGGTTTGAGCCTGGGCCCGGCTGGGCCTTGGTTCAGGAAAGGGGAGGCCCGGAACTGGCCCGGGTAACCCCCGGGTCCGGGTCAGGCCGGGCCTCGGTTATTTTTTTTTCTTCCTAATTACGCCCCGCTCACCCCAAACCACCCCAAACCACCTCAAATGGCCCAAAAGACCCAGCCCAACCCAAAAACTTAAAAATAATTGGGGAAAAAAATTAAAATGGCCCGGTCTGGGCCCATATCGGCCGGGCCGGTTCACGCTTTAGGGGGCTCGAGCCCGGAACCGCCTCGAGTCGGGCCTACCCGGACCGGACCCTGGCCGGACAAGCGGTTTGGGCCGGTTCAAACAGGAACCGGTTCGGGCCGGTTCCGGGTGGGCCGCACGGCCCGAGTCCAGGCCTAGTCGTCGTAACCCTTCAAATAATAAAATACAAACTAATATAGACGTAATTAAATATATGATCCCCATAACTCGCTGCTGCCCGTAGTGATTTTCCTTCTCCAACAATGACAAGTACTCACCCTTCCCTCGGTCAAATTCAGCCACCCCCACCCATCAGACCCGCCTCGAAGATAATGTGGTCTCTTTTTGCAAAAGGTAATCATTTTCCCATACATACACGCTTTTCCTCTTCCCCATTCCTCCACGGCTTTACTACAAGCAACAATACGCCCCCCGCCCTCCACAACTCCACCGCCTCTTTTTTATATAGAGATAGATCACTTGGTTTGTTAAGTTTACTACATTCAAACGGAGCGTTTATGACCTTTGTTTTGACAAAACTAAATTCTAGGGTCAATTTTAAGGAAATCTTGTAATGACTAAAGGTATGTTTTTAACATAGGGATTTGAAGGACTAAGTGTATATCTTGATATATATCCGATTTTACAAATAAAAATATTGAAAGGTTGACATAACACGTGGTTTAAAACATTTCAATCTCCTTTAATTCATTTTAAGAAACAATATATTTATGAAAATATAGATCAAGTCCTCCGAACCCTTATTATCAAAAAACACCAAGTTGTCCTTGACTGCTTATGGACACATCTCACTATCTGATTCTAACCTTCCCAAGCAGCTGATTCCAAACCTTGTAGGCTCTTCTGAGGTGAACATGATTACTTCTAGTGACCTCTTGGGTTGGAAGCCAGATCTGAGAAATTGCAACATGTACATAACTGTATTAAAAGAACATGGAAAGTAGAAAATTTGAGGGTTTACCTGTTCAATGCATTAAATGCCTCAATTGCACCTAAAACACCAACCACGCCATCATATTTCCCAGAGTATGGTATGGCATCAATGTGTGATCCTGTTGCAACTGGAGTTTTTATTTACTTAGGGTTTATAATAGATCTCTCCAGGCCATGAATCTGCGTTTGTCTTTCTGCATTTGGCCTTCTGCGTTTGGCTTTCTACGTTTGGCTTCCTGCGTTAATTTGGCCTTCTTGATTAATTCACACTACTTTATTTTTAATCTGATAATTGCTTTATATTATTTTTATTTCATATTTTATTGTTTTGTATTTTGACCATGTCAACTGGTGTTGGTGCTTTTGAAGAAAGCGTAGTGCCCACTTCAGAGTTGTTCACATCTTCTTCACCATCTGGAGAAGTGGGAATAACTAATTGAAGTTCTTGTGTACCACTATAGTTCCACCTGCTACCCTTTACTTCTCCTAGTGCATTAGGACATTGTTTGATTGCTCATCTTCAAGCAACCAGCAGCATAATCCTTTGCAACTGCTCTGTCAGCATCATTAATCAGTGAATTGTAAGTCATTAGAATTCAAACACACAAACTGAAAGATGAATAGATAGTATACGTTAAGGACTTGGGGTTTACATGAAATAGTACGTTAAGGACTTGGGGTTTAATTAATGGACTTCTCGTTAAAAAGTACTTTGGGCCTTTTATTAAATGAAATGCCTTAGACTACTTTTTTTAATCTGATAATTGCTTTATATTATTTCTATTTCATATTTTATTGTTTTGTATTTTGACCAGGTCAAGTGGTGTTTGTGCTTTTGAAGAAAGCGTAGTGCCCACTTCAGAGCTGTTCACATCTTCTTCACCATCTAGAGAAGTGGGAATAACTAATTGAAGTTCTTGTGTACCACTATAGTTCCACCTGCTACCCTTTACTACTCTGTAGTGCACTAGGACATTGTTTGAGTGCACTAGGACATTGTTTGACTGCGCATCTTCAAGCAACCAGCAGCATAATCCTTCACAACTGCTCTGTCAACATCATTAATCAGTGAATTGTAAGTCATTAGAATTCAAACACACAAACTGAAAGATGAATAGAAAGTACACGTTAAGGACTTAGGGTTTACATGAAATAGTACGACCACATGTTTAATTAATGGACTTCTAGTTAAAAAGTACTTTGGGCCTTTTATTAAATGAAATGCCTTAGACTTCTTCTTTTTTATTACTGCCCATTAATGACATAGAAACACATGAAAAACGCCTCAAAATATGTGGAGTAATATACTTGATCAAAGTCTGTAACTCTGCTTTTCTCAAAAAGACTGAAATCATGATTTCCTCAAATTAGCAACAATCGGTTCTCCTAAATATGAGTGGTAATCCAGGAAATACTTTAAGGGGTTCAAAGTGTAAATTCTAAATATATGAAGCTACTGGTAAAATAAATTCGTGTTTACATTAGCTACATTCTAACTTTGGTACAATTTTTTACCATTATTGGTTAATTTGAAATTATGGGTTGAACTAATTGTACTTTTTATTTTACATTGTTGAGCTCTAGTTTTTTACTTTTTGAAGAATTGAACTTTCATTTCCAGTCAATTGTAACTTTTTACAATAATGAACTCGGTAATTTTAAATTTGATGGTTTTTTTAAAAATGGAATTACATTTTCGTGGTGTATTTTAACTTTTGTCACGTTGGAATTAAATTTGATAGTTTCTCTAAGAACCGAAAAATGATAAGAATCGAATTGTTAACACTTGGCTTGGTTCTATAACGGTTCAAGATTTTTTTGACTGGAACCGAATGAATTATATGACTTGTGATTTTTTAAACGGTTTCACCAATTTTTAAGAGGAACCAAACAGACCACATGCCTATCTAAGATTCGGTTCTATATCTAGTTATATATTATCCATATTTTTTTGCTTTATTTCATTAGTTGTGATTCCTTGTTCCCGTTATTGTAATTTGCAGATATTAAATGGAAAGAAAAATGATTTCAAAGATTCTCAAGTTTACTAACAATTTTTTTATTCCAGGTATGGTTGGTTTGTGTATGTTCTGTTTTTTGCTTTTAAAGCTACTTGATTTCTACTAACTATATTTTTTTATTAAAATTTAAGGTATGCAGAGCGATAATGAACTTCCATCTGCATTTGGTAAGAAGAGAGGAGCAGCAGTAAGATGGGTACTCAGTATGCCGTTGCCAGTACTCCACATATTTTGAGGCGTTTTTCATGTGTTTCTATGTCATTAATGGGCAGTAATTAAAAAAAAGAAGTCCAAGACATTTCATTTAATAAAAGGTCAAAGTACTTTTTAACTAGAAGTCCATTAATTAAACATGTGGCCGTACTATTTCATATAAACCCTAAGTCCTTAACGTGTACTTTTTATTCATCTTTCAGTTTGTGTGTTTGAATTCTAATGACTTACAATTCACTGATTAATGACGCTGACAATGACGCTGACAGAGCAGTTGTGAAGGATTATGCTGCTGATTGCTTGAAGAGGAGCAGTCAAACAATGTCCTAGTGCACTACAGATTAGTAAAGGGTAGCAGGTGGAATTATAGTGGTACACAAGAACTTCAATTAGTTATTCCCACTTCTCCAGATGGTGAAGAAGATGTGTGAACAACTCTGAAGTGGGCACTACGCTTTCTTCAAAAGCACCAACACCACTTGACCTGGTCAAAATACAAAACAATAAAATATTAAATAGAAATGATATAAAGCAATTATCAGATTAAAAAAAAAGTAGTCCAAGGCATTTCATTTAATAAAAGGCCCAAAGTACTTTTTAATTAGAAGTTCATTAATTAAACATGTGTCTGTACTATTTCATGTAAACCCCAAGTCCTTAGCGTATACTTTCTATTCATCTTTCAGTTTGTGTGTTTGAATTCTAATGACTTACAATTCACTGACTAATGATGCTGATTGTTTGAAGATGAGCAGTCAAACAATGTCCTAGTGCACTAGGAGAAGTAAAGGGTAGCAAGTGAAACTATAGTGGTACACAAGAACTTCAATTAGTTATTCCCACTTCTCCAGATGATGAAGAAGATGTGAACGGCTCTGAAGTGGGAACTACGCTTTCTTAAGAAGCACCAACACCACTTGACCTGTTCAAAATACAAAACAATAAAATATGAAATAGAAATAATATATAACAATTATCAGATTAAAAAAAATAGCCCAAAGGCATTTAATTAAAGACCCAAAGTACTTTTAAACTAGAAGTCCATTAATTAAACATAAACCCTAAGTCCTTAACTTATACTTTCTATTCATCTTAGGAGTTAGGGGTCGAATTGGGTCCTCTTTCTAATTAGTTTTCCTAAAATATGAATTGTAATCGGATAGTGAATGTTTGTTTCAAAGTAGAATTGAATGAGTGAAAAAACTGTAATTCGGTAAAGAATTAGCTGCTTTCGCTTCGACGCTAGGCGTCCCATGGAATCGGAGAGTCACCGGGCACACTTGCTTGAAGCTGGAAATCCCGGGCAGCGGCGAGCACGAGCCCGGACATTTCGAACGCATCTTCGTCAAAGGCACCTGGTTCACTTCTCGCTTCGACCTCTCCATCACGAATGGCCTCGATGCCTGGACATGCAGTGGTACTTTGCTGCAGTGTTTTATTCGTTTCAGCTTCAGAGTATTCCATTATAGTTGCATTTTATAGTTCCGGTAAATGCTTGGTTTTGAAGCTTCGGAGGATGAGGTTCAAGAGAGAGCGTCTCAGTGGGACCAGCCGGTTCCGGAATACATTGAAATGGCGGAGAAGTACTTAGGGTTTCAACAACCCGGTTCGGTTTATGGGTTCGCTGATGCCGGTTCTGGCCACAGAAAAGTACGTCTTTTCGAGATAGTGCTCTGAATTTGTTTGTTCTGCCAGTGATTTTCACTTTGTTGGAGATCAATTGTATTATTGCAAATAATTTTACATCTTCTGTAAATTCATAATTTTGACTTGTTTTTTGTCTAAAGCTTGGATTTTGCGTGAAATATAGACAATAGAAATAACAGGAAACAAAATTGAGTACCTTTTCAACAAGTTTTCTACATTAAAAATGGAAGTTACAATTTTGTTTCATACTAGACATTTTTTCACATGATAACCAAGTAAGCTGTTGCACTTGAGGTTGAAAAAGCTTTTGAAACTAATGCATTACTGTGTCACAGGAAAGTCTTTTGATAGTTTCTTGTTTAGGGCTCCCTTTGGCAGTCATTATCGGCATATCCTGCTCTGTTTCTTTTTACTAACATATTTGGCTAAAATGAATCTTACTGAATGTTTTTTCTTTTAAATTATTCACCATTTATTACATCCAAATAGCCTTAGTGAAATGGGCCCTAGTTATTCAGGGTATGATAATTCAAAGAATGTATGGCTTTGTTAAAAGAAAGACATAACTAATGTGATTTGTTTTATTAACATAAGCTGATCAGCGTGTTTCTTTGTTCTTGATACATTTTAGCTTTCATGGACATTTGAGAAAGCAGGAACAAAGCTGGAGTGGAGGTGGAAATGCCAACCATCATCCAATGACAAGAACACTACAGCTGACATCTTGGACTTTCTCATGGATTCCAACATACAAATGAGTGTAAGACCAAACACCACTTTACTTTTGTTTGTGCGGGACAAAGAACATTGGTTAAAATGAAATGAATTTATTTTTAACATTTTATCAATCTCATTTTATTTATTTAATGTAAGATAAATATATATGGATGACATTTTTTTTGAAGTATTAACCATATATCATTCTCCTTTTATAAGTTGGGGTAAAACCAAAGATAAGAAAACAGCTATCCTTGGCATTTAGGTTTGCTTTCTTCAATCGTTCTTGGATCCAAATTCAACAACGTTCAAGCATTAGTCTCAAAAGAATTTGGGTCCGCTAACATGAATTGACGTGAGAAATAAAAATGATAAGATAAAAAGGGAAAAAACATAAAAGATAAGAAATATATTACAATTATAAGATAAAAACGATAAAATAGAGATAAAGATAAGATAAAAATAAAAATGATAAGATAGAAAGGGATAAAACATATGAAGTAAAAAGCAAAACAGATGAAAAGAGATCAATCTCTACACAAATATTCTCTCTCTCCACTTTGCTTTCTCAAAGGTCATAGACTCATCTAACCTAAGAAGTATATCACTCTTGACTTCTCTAATCCATGTTTGTTTGGGGTCTTCATCTCCCTCAACTCGGGTAACACGTGCATTACTTGGTTTTTTATTTGGGATCTCATTTCTCAAACAATCATTTCTAAAATGTCCATACATCTAATGCAACATGTGCATTATAATCACACTCGTCTTTTGAATGTGACATTGTTTCACCACCCAACATTCTAAAGTCATTCAATAATACATGCCTAATTGATGTCCGATAAAACTTACCTTTTTATCTTGTCAGCATAGCTCGATCACATCGAAATCCTGACGCACTCCAATTTTTGGATCCAAATACCTGCTAATATTTAAAAAAATATAAACTACCTAGTATTGTTTGCATTGTTCCAAGGGACAAATGATAAATTACCTAAAGCTCATGGTCCTTATGTTGGGTAAATGGTGGGAAATAATCGAAATCATATTAGATTTTCTTTGCTCTGGCAACAATTGCCAAATGAAATTAGTTATTAGACACTTGAAAATGTTACATCTTGTTGTTGTGGTTGTTCTTTGCCTATAGTTCAAATGGGAGAAAATGTGTATTTCATAGGTTCTTGTTATGATCAATATAGGAGGAAGTTCTCGGCAAAACACAGGCATTCGAGAGGCTACAATCTGAAGCTGAAAATGCTTAGCTCAAAGTGAGAGGCTTGTCAAAGAGAAGGAAGAATTTGAAAATGCTTTTTATGCAAAGGTTTGTGACTGTGCACAACTGTACTTCATTGGTTTCACACTTCGGTTTCTTAATCCCACTCGAGCCCCGCCTAGAAACCAAGCCCAAGCCTTCTTAGGATCCAAAAAATAAAAAAGGCCTCAAACATATTCATTTGATTTTTTTACATTGAATTTGGAAAATAACATGACATTTCTTGGCCAATAAAGATCAGTTTGTGGCCTCCTACTTCAACTGACCAACAGTTTTTTTTATTTATTATAAAAGCAAACACATATACTTATTGGACCTAAAAAAACTGGTGCATAATATTTAGATGCCCAGGGCTATTACCCTAATCTGTAGGATTAGGTCAGCTAGGTGCTACCCTAATCTTTCTCCAGCTTAGCGCCGATTGTCTCTCAAACCAGCCTATCACGATGATGGTTCTAGAATTTCATCTCATTCTTTATGTTTTAGAAGGGGTTGCCACATTAACGGCATCACACATAAAATTTGGCCACTATTTTTTCCCATGAATTTATAGTATAGTTTTTTCCCATAAAATTTCTAGAATTTTAGACATTGTCACAATAATTTTCATTCCACAAGCATATACTCCAACCATAGGTTCATAAGTTCATTCAACATTAAACAATACTTTGTTTGGTAGTGAATGAGTGTATTCTCCTTTCCCTTTGTTCCCAGTTTGTTGGAGTATTGAATTCAAAGAAAGAAAAACTGAGAGAGCTTCATGATAGACTTCAAAACGAAAAATCCGGTAAGGGAGCACAAGAGGAAGATGATTTAGAAGAAAGGGCGAGTGACACAACAGAGACGTTTGGCGAGGATGAAAGTAATGAAGAAAGAAGTGAAGATGAGGCAGTGGACATGGATGCTGCTGGCTCCTTCATAGATACTACAGCAAGAAAGGGCTGTCATTGAATTGGTAGAATGTAGAAACAAGCATTGGACTCTACTTGCAACTAGTAGCTTTCTGTGATACTACATATTCACCATAAGGCTATTGTGATTTGTATCTTTTCTTGTAAAGTGTTCATATATATAATCCTTCCTTGGCTCCAGCCTATTATCAGATTCTCGCTTTGGTTTGGCTTATTAATGGCTGTGGAGTTTCATGGTTGCGATTTTAGATTGATATGGGAAGAAGAGAAGTGATATGAATCACACAGCATTTCTTAACAGTAAAATAGAGTAGAACCCAATAAGAGGGAGTACATATCAAATTATCAATGATCATGCATATATTGTGTAAAGAGAGAACCTCTACCTGTATATTGTGTAAAGAGAAACAGTCCACTCCGGTTACAATGTGTTAATGAATACAATTTAATAGGCTAACAAATAAATTGTTCAACTAGGGATGGACTGGTTCCAGGCTGACCGGCCCGTGGCCCGAATTGGCACAGCCTAATCCCACTCGAGCCCCGCCTAGAAACCAAGCCCAAGCCTTCTTAGGCCTGCACCGGTACGAGACTTAATCCATCCCTAAAGTGAAACACGAAAGTAAGCATTTAGTATTAAAAATATCAAACATATACAGTTGGCTCCTAAAAATCATTCACCAAAATTCAATTTTTTTAAAATGTTTTAATTTTTACAATTTTTTATAATTTTTTTACTACAAATTGAAATATAGTTATAGAATAAAATATATTTTATTCATTCTTTTGAAAGATAAATAACATAGTCATATTTGTGCATTTAGACACAATTTTAATCCTATTTTAATTTGGCTATTTTCCCTAACCACATAATTTTACTCACACGCATATATGGTCGCTATTGCCTAGGTAAATTATATCATACAACCGGCTGTAACATGTGCATGGTACAGTTGGGTATTTTTGCAATTAACTCCAAAGTGAAGGCTGATTATATTATCCTCCATTGATACGTTCCTTTGCTGAAGACGAGTTGCAGACGGCAACTTTTCCCGCCTGCTCGCGACGTACTTTGGAAGTGGGATCTACGACCACCTGAATCCAACGTAATTTAGGTTGTGAATTTTGTAATGCCTTTTTAAAAGCTGTACATTATCACTACCACTCTCAATTATTGGTGTATTTTTTAATACCGAGTATCATGTTAATGAAGGGCCATCCTGAAACTTTTAAAAGGCCTAAATCACAGTTCTACTCCATATTAAAATGAAAGAACTGTTACAATCTTTTAAAATGCATCACACATGTCTCGTTCTTTCGTACTCAGTATTTGTGTTCCAGAATAAAAGCTACCTTGTACGAAGTAATATTCAAAATTGATTAATGCAACTTATTATTATTAATCAATACTACGTACGTATATCAAAATATTACTCCGCATTACCTAGTACTCCCTCTGGTTTTTAATAAATTGTACACTTCCTTATTTCCTTTTTTGGCAAAGAAATCTACATCAAAACAATGCCAAACAGTGTTTCAACTGTGTAAAGTCAAATTTCTTTCCTTATTTTGTGTGAAGTCAAAGTGTGAAGTTTAATAGAAACCGGAGGGAGTATATTTTAAATCATGTTTTCCTATACTCATTTTATAAGTTATATATGCTCATTTCATAACGACCCAATGCGCATTTTAAAATGATATATTAATGTATATTTTAATTTTTAAACTAGTTGTGTTACGCTCGTTGCGCGATACATAAAATGCCCAATATAATTTATGTGGCCTTGATAATAGGATTTCCTTGTATAGTGGGTGTATTTGTTTGGTATGAAACAAACGAAATAATCCAACATTAGTGGCCATCTCACGGCGTGATTTCCCGGTCTCTAGAATCAATAAGCGTGCACAAGTTCAAAGCACGCAGATCACCACAACATCATCTATAATAATCCTAATAGAAGTCATATGCACTAACAAATCGATAGCCTCTTTATTAGACCCGTCTTGATTTTATAGCAAGAAATCAACGAAATTAAATTGTAGTCATCCATTTCATTTAAAAAATGGCAAGCTTCAATCACACAGTCACATACCTATCTAATAGCATAGTCATAGTAAGGGACAACAAGATTTCTCTCATGCATTTGATCATAAATTAGCATTCCTGTTTCAACATTGCCGCTTGAACATGCCCTAGCAAGATCGAGTTGAAGGAAACCAAGTCACGCAGGACATTCATTAAATACCCTCCCGGCATCATCCACATGATCACTCTCTACATACACATTAATCAAAGTATTATGAACATAAACATGTAATCACAAACCCCTTTGGAACACTCTACCTTCAGATATGAACACCAGTTAGTGCTAGCTTGACAAGAATTGGTACCACTCTCACTATACGGACTTGGAAAGAAAGAGAAAATGTGTAGAATTACCACATTCTCCCCACTACATGTCATCTTTTTGTCCCATAGTTTATTATAAAAAAGTGACTAATTTTATTGAAATGAACACACAAATCACCACAACAGCATCTATAATAATCCCAATAGATGTCATATGCACTAACATATCGAAAACCTCTTTATTAGACCCATTTTAAACTCTACTGATTTTTCAAATAAAAATGTCTTGCTTATTCTAACTCATCTAACACATTTTCTTCCTAGTTTTTACTTTTATTTTCTCATGATTATAAGACATAAAAAAAATACCATCTCTTCTAATGCATTTTTTTCTTTTTGATGAATTGTGTGTCCCTGATCATGTAAGAAGTACAAATATAGTGTAAAATCTCATCTAGTGGTTCAGGCATATCTACAAACACCTAATTTTTTTAAAGAGCAGAGTTGAGTTCATGTTAAAATTGTTTCTAACCAATTTGATGTGAATTCATAATCAGCAAAGGCTACTGCAGGTTTGTTCGCAAACACTAATCACACGTGTTTTTTGAACTTTTTAAAATGATTTGAGAAAAAGTGATTAATAGTAAATGATGGTAGTGTTTGAGAAAAAAGTGATTTTGATAAGTAAAAGTTGGTATTATTTGATAAATAAGTGCTTTTTGTATAATAGAAAAAGAAAAAAAAAGCAGATTTTAGCTTTTAGTTTTAAGTATTAATTTAAGTAGAAATTGTCACTTGAAAAGATTGTTCATAGCTTATTTAAACCAAAAGGTAGGAAGCACTTTTTTTGGTGTTTGCAAACAAAGCCTGCACCTGCCCGCGCAGCTTTAATAACTGATGGGGACAATGCCTTTATAAAGCCCTGCCCATCCCTCTTGGAGTAAAATGCTACTAAGAGCATCATACATATTTCTGTAAGCATTAAGCTTGACTTGAGCATCATATCTTGGATGTCTCTTTAGTCCTTCAATCTGAAATCTCTACTTCACTTCATCAAGGGGATGACAAACAACTTCTGCACATGTCCCAGCTGCTAATTAATTTCATATCTCACAGCATTTCAAAAGAGAAAAAAAAGAACTAAAATTTAAAGCTTTCAGTTGAACCAAGACTTAACCGTACATATAAGTGTGCCGCCAGGTAATCCACCTATAAGTGAACCCTTACTTCCAGATCTTGCATCTGCCATCTGCAGAGCAAGGACGCATCTTTAGGGGGGTTCAAATATAAATACACACATATTCAGAACATGAGCAGGAAAATATACACATTCCAAACAAAAAGAGAAACAAAAATTGATGCTATGTTGATGTAATACTATCATGTGATTGCAGTCAGAATTTGATCATTTTCATTTTCATTTACTCCAGTGCCGCAAAGGCTCCCACCTACGGTGGGGTAAGGGGGGGTCGGATGTACGCAGTATTACCCCTGTACTAAAGCACAGAGAGATTGTTTCCGGATGACCCATAGTGAAAATCCCGTCCAAAATTGCATGGACTGACTGCTGCTTCATAACAAAGAAGCGCAGACAGTTTAGTGAGCCATTTTGCTTTATTCCATCATAATCTCAAGCCAAAAAATAATGGAAAGTGCAGTGAGAATTTGATCTGAAAAAAAAACTAAACATCGAAACATCATAGTTAATTCTAGCATAAATAAAATAACAGTGGAGAAGATGAATAAAAAAAATGGCGGAGAACATGGAATAGCAAACCGAAACCTGCGAAACAAAACGGCAGAAAAGATGAATAAAAACATATGGCAGAGAAGATGGAATAAAATAACAGAGAATTTGTCATTGTGTTAAACCACTAATGACAAACATAATTCTAAGAAATGCAAAATGCTTTCCATTGCAAAAGTTTAATTCAATGTCTAAATGTGGGAACCGGGGGTATAACATAAAGTAGCTGTAAAAGGATATCTTCAGATTTTTGCATTGGCATAGATAAGGTGCACATTTGCCTTGTCATTTGGATTTTTAAGAATTGCTCTAGCTCTAGCTCGGAAACTTTCTGACATGAAAGGAATCAGTCCTGCTTTCTGCACTCATAAAATTTTGATGGAAGATAATGCTAAACCGGTAGTGCAGTCACAAAGAAGACTGAATCCTAATATGCAGGAGGTGGTCAAGGAAGAAGTCATCCGTCTGTTAGATGTAGGCATTATTTATCCGATTTCAGACAGTCCCTGGGTCAGCCCGACCCAGGTGGTTCCCAAGAAAGGGGGATGACTGTGGTTAGGAATGAAAAAGATGAGTTGATTGCTACACGTACGGTCACCGGATGGCGGGTTTGCATTGATTACCAAAGATTGAATGCCGCCACTTGAAAGGACCACTTCCCCCTCCCCTTTATTGATCAGATTTTAGAGAGGCTAGCAGGGCATAAGTTTTACTGTTTCCTTGACGGGATGTCGAGATACTTCCAGATCCCCATAGCCCCCGAGGACCAGGATAAAACCACTTTCACATATCCATTCGGTACCTTTGCTTATCGGAAGATGGCGTTTGGATTATGTAATGCCCCTGCTACCTTTATGAGATGCATGCTTGCTATTTTTGGGGATTTTATTGGGAAGTTTATGGAGGTTTTTATGGATGACTTTTCTGTGTATGGTGATACTTTTGATGAGTGCTTAGAGAATTTGAAGAAAGTTCTGGTTAGGTGTCGAGAGGTGAATTTGGTACTTAACTGGGAGAAGTGTCACTTCATGGTTAGTGAGGGAGTGGTCCTAGGGCATAAAATTTCGAGTAGGGGATTGAGATTGATCCGGTTAAGGTTGATGTGATTTCTAAACTGCCTCCCCTACCTCATCCCGTGCCATTAGGATTTTTCTAGGCCACGCAGGTTTCTACCGCAGGTTCAT